AGAAGATACAAGGTAAAATTTCAATTCTTTTGATTCTGTTGAGGTTTGTTTTATGTCCTAGGATATGATCAATTTTGGAGAATGTTCCATGGGGCAATGAGAAGAATGTATGTTCTTTATCTTTGGGATGGAGTGTTCTATATGCGTCTATCAAGCACAGTTGTTCTAGGGACTGAAATGAGTCCCTTATATCTTTATTTAATTTCTGTTTAGAGGATTTGTCCAACTCTGTAATAGGAGTGTTAAAGTCCCCTGTTATATGGTGTTTTAGGATATCATATTCCTCAGACTGAGTAAGATACATTTCAAGAATCTGGGAGCATTTAATTTGGGTGCATAAATATTTAGAATTGAAACGTTGCCTTGTTGTATTTTTCCCTTCACCCGTATGAAGTGACCATCTTTGTCCTTTTTGACTTTAGTTTCTTTAAATCCACATGTATCTCAAAATAAGATTGTAACCCCTCTCTTCTTCTGAATTCGATTTGTGTGAAAAATTGTCTTCCAACCCTTAACTCTGAGTTTTAATTTGTTTTTTGAGGCTAGGTATGTTTCCTGCAGACAGCAAATGGATGGCTTGTGTTTTTAATCCAATCAGCCAAATCTGTGCCTCTTCAGTGGGGAATTCAAGCCATTAATATTTATTGAGATAATTGATAAGTGTGATAGTGTTCTATTCATCTTATTTTGTGAGAGTCCATTGCTTAGTTTTATCTTTTGCATCTTTGTGGAAGTTAGGGTCTGTCTTTTAATTTCTGAGTTCTTACTTTGCTGTTGATCCTTTGTGATGGTCAGTGTGTAGAACAGGTTGAAGTATTTCCTATAGAGCTGATTTTGTTGTGGCGAATTTCTACAGTGTTTGCATATCAGTAAATGATTTGATTTCTCTGTCAGTTTTAAAGCTTAGCTTAGCATTATATAGAATTCTGGGCTGGAAATTGTTCTATGTAAGTAGATTAAAGGTAGATGACCATTGTCTTCTGGCTTGAAAGGTTTCATTAGAGAACTCTGCAGTCACCCTGATGGATTTGCCCCAGTAGGTCAACTGGCGCTTACTCCTGGCAGTTTGAAGAATCTTTTCTTTTGTCTTGACTTTGGACAGGTTCATCACAACGTGTCTTGGAGAAGCTCTGTTATGAGGCGACTTCAGGTCTGATATCCCTCTGTAAGGAGTGTGTCAGTATCTTTGGTGATACAGGGAAATTTTCATTTATACTATTCTGTTATATGGCTTCCATTCCTCTGGGGCATTTTTCTTCCTCTTCTGGGATACCTATAACTTGTATGTTTGAATGCTTCATAAAGTCCTATAATTATGTCAGTGAACATTCTGCTTTCTCTGCCTTTTTAACTATTTGAGTTATCTCAAGAGCTTTGTCGTCCACCTCTGAGATTCTTTCTTCTGCATGGTCTAATCTGTTGTTGATACTTTCTATTGCATCTTTAAGTTCCCTAATTGACTGCTTCAGTTCCTTCAGCTCTGCTATATCCTTTATGTATTCTTCATATTGTTCATCTCTTATTTGATTGTTTTTGGATTTCCTTTTTGTTATTTTCTACTTTAGCAGCAGTTTCCTTCATTGTTTTCATCATCTGTATTCTAAATTCCCTTTCTGTCATTCCTAACATTTTTTTATAGGTGGAATCCTCTGTAGTAGCTACCTCATGGTCTCTTGGAGGGGTTGCTGTGGACTGGTTTTTCAGGCTGCCAGGATTTTTCTGCTGATTCTTCCTCATGCGTGTTTTCTTTTATCTGTTTCCTTGCCCTAATTTTCCTTTCACTTTCTCTTGCTCTTTAAGTTACCATGCCTCTTGCCCAGCATTTCAGTATGTCCTTTTGGTACAGGACCAGAAGGATGAGAGGACTGAAGAGTAAGAAGGGAAAAAAGATTTAAAAAAAGAGAGAAAGAAAGGAGAGGGGGTAAGTAAAAGGTAATATTGACAAAAAGAAGAGGGAGACAGGGCAATATAAGTGTACAGTAGGGCACTTTGACCCAACCTTAAAACCCCCCAACCTCTGGGTATGCCAGGTTGTGTAGTTCCCTTGAGGTCAGCAGCTCTTTGCTAGCCTGTTCGGACACAGTACCCAGACCTCCACCAAGTAGAGAGGGAATCCTATAAATCAGTTTCTCTCGACCAAGGTTTTGATGAGTCCTTTTGGTGCAGGACCAGAAGGATGAGAAGAATGAAGAACAAGAAGGGAAAAAAGAAAAGAAAGGAAAAAAGAGAAAGGAGAGGGGATGGGTAAAAGGGAATATTGACAAAAAGTAGAGAAGCACGGAAAGAAGGAGATGGGAGCAATATGGGTGTATGGTAGGGTACTTTGACCCAACCTTAAAACCCCCAACCTCTGGGGGTGCCGAGTTGGGTGGTTCCCTTGAGGTCAGCAGCTCTTTGCTAGCCTGTTTGGATACAGTACCCCACCTCCACCAAGTAGAGAGAAAAGACAAAAATGCTATAAATCAAACCAAAACAAGCAAACAGAAAACTTTACAGGATAAAATTGGGGGGAAGACCAAATAATAGGGGTAGAAACATAAGCAAAAATGGAGTTTTAATTGTTAAAGAAGGTAACATTGGAAAATTATATTTAAACTAGAAAAATAAAAGAAAGAAAAAAATCTAGAGCGAAAATGTTGAAATTAAAAAAACAAAAACAAAACACAGCAGTATATATGTCTTTCTGGATATTATCTGGGCAACAGGACCTATTCTAGGGTATGAGATGTTAATCACAATGCTGATACAGCTATACGAAATAGAGATTGGAGGCCTCTGCTGATTTCTCAAACCGTGCAGGGTGGAGAGCCTAAATCTCTCCTTGGCCCACTTAAAAGGCACTTTAAACTGATAATCTTGGCTAAGCAGAAGCTTTTCCAGGAAAGTACTTGTTGCTGGGATCACTCATGAAGTGGCTGTCCATTTACCCAGTGTGCCAAAACCAGTCTAACTCTATGCCCCTGAGGGCCAAGGCTGTAAGGTATCTCAGTCTTGCCTTTAGGTTGCTCAGTCACTAGAATACTCACCCAAGGTCTCCCACTGGATCCTCTTGCTCTGTGACTCTAAGGGTAGAACTTGCCCAGGGCAGTTCTCCCACAGTGGCTCCTCTGCTTGGCCCACAGCTAAACACTGTTAGCTCTGTCCCACTCAGCATCTCAGTTTGGGACCCTAGACAACGCTTAAAGTCCTCTGCACTCTCGCCCAGGTTCTCCCAAGGTAGTTTAACTGAGTGCTAAGTCCAAAAAAACCAGAACAGCTCACAGGTAAGTCCTTTCGAGTTTGTAATCACACTGCTGTTGTACTTAGAGCTGCTGGTGGGATTAGAAAGAATGAAGGTGTGCAACCACTTGCCAGTTCTCCACTGCTTTTGTCTTCCTCATGGGGTCCAGAAGTCTCTTGCTGACTCCCTGTGTCCCCAAAGGCATGTATCTGAGCAGATCCCACCAGCCATAGATGCCTGGAGTCTGCTCTCCCCAGTCTCACCTTTCTCAGTTGCAAGGAAGCTATTACTGGGCCGTCATCTTGCTCCTCCCCTCTGATTTTACATTCTTACCAGCAAGGCACCAAGGGCTCCAATTTCTCCACATCCTTGTCAACACTTGTTATTTTTTAGTTTTATCAATAATAGCCATTCTGTTTGGTGTGAAGGGCAATGGGTATGAATTTGTTGTTGGTTCTTGCATTCTTCCTAGTTTAGTCTTTGTTACTAAGGTAATTTTTTTTTTTTTTTGGCCGGGGCTGGGTTTGAACCTGCCACCTTTGACATATGGGCCTGGCGCCCTACTCCTTTGAGCCACAGGAGCCTCCCCTAAAGTAATTTTTTTCTTTAATTTTTTTAAGTTCTATCACCTCTCTGAATTTTTCTAATTCTGACTTACGTTGCTCTTTTATATCGTTCATCATTTTTTAAAATCCTATAACTCATTTTGAAATAGGATGTTATAGTTTTGATCCATTTGGGGGGCATATTTTTCTGTAAATATATTAAAATCTTATTCAAATATAGGGACATACTTTTGTATAAAACAATATATATCTTTTAAAAATAAATATATTATTGAAGACTTAGGAATTCCAAAATAATATTGAGTAATTGTAATTTCTGTTTTAATTCACAAATACTTACAGAGAACCTTTTATTTCTGCAACACAGATGTATTGAACTATATCCCATTCTCAAGAACCATAAAGTAGACACAAATAATTAAGGCAGAATTTGATGAGTTTTAAGAGTTGCAGAACAAAATATCACAAAAGTTAGAATTGTGAATAAGACATACTTGTATAATAGTAGCTACCATGTATGGAGTGTATACTGTGTGGTAGGCATGAGTATTAAATATTGGATTTTAGTATTTGTTCAATTTTGACAACTGAAGCATCAAATGTGACACTTAAAAATTTACATATGCTGATATGGTGTGATGTACATTATGTAGCAGTGGCAATTTTATGTTGCTATTAATGTTGTTTGCATGTCGAGCTGAAAATATGGATTAACAACTGATAAAACTCTAAAGTCATTCTTCATAATTTATATCAGAAATCATAAGGTTTCCAGCTTTTTCTTTGTAATATGATTTTATGAGGAAGTTAGCAAGACATATACTGGCACAAGGCTGTTTTGGTGTAATTTCTTTTTTCACATTATAGAAGAAATGTTTGTTAATTTAATTGTAAACACATAGCATTAGTTGGCATTTGTTTTGAAGTGGGTAGACTGGTCCATTTTAAAGTTACTATTTTTTGTTTCCAATTCTGAAGAATTTGAACAGCTAAAAATGTATAAGGATGGTGGTATTAAGCATATTAATCATGGGGAGGTGATAGATGGTGGTCAAGATTAGGATGGTAGACAAATCATATTTCTCTTTCTGTTTTACTTATCTTTTAATAAGAGTGGCCTTATTAAAGACCTGAAATGTTTTTTCATCTATTGAATATAATGAAAAATGCATAAAAGCTATCATTAATGCTTTTATATGATTATTTATTTCAAGCGGATTTTGGAGTATCAGCTAAGAACACAAGGACAATTCAAAGAAGAGATTCATTTATTGGCACACCATATTGGTATGTATTTGGTTTTATGAATTTATAGTATTATGTTAGCAATGGGGTGGAGAACTGGTGGTTTTCTGGATCCTTGAGTGTGGCCTTTTGATTGAATCCAAACTTTACAGAACAAATCTTTTTAATAAAGAGATTTCTTCTTTGAAGTTTAAATTTGATCGAGGGGCTACACTTCAGGATCTGAAAGGCCACATGTGTCCACCCACCACCCCTGGCTTATGATCACTGTTCTTAAGTTAAACATCTTAACTTTTAATTCTCTGTCTTTATAGGATGGCTCCTGAAGTAGTTATGTGTGAAACATCTAAGGACAGACCTTATGACTACAAAGCTGATGTTTGGTCCCTGGGTATCACTTTAATAGAAATGGCTGAGATAGAACCACCTCATCATGAATTAAATCCAATGAGAGTCCTTCTAAAAATAGCAAAATCTGAGCCCCCTACGTTAGCACAGCCATCAAAATGGTAAAATATTCTGAACAAAGCTTATTATCAAGTTTAATGTTTTAGTCTCATAATTTTCTGAGGATATTTACACTTGGGTACATGGTACAAAGACTATATGAGTTACATACTACATACACTCTGTGAAGCCGAGGCGGGAGTCAGGAGTTCAAGACCAGCCTGAACAAGACTGAGACCCCGCTTCTACTAAAAAAAAATAGAAAATTTAGCTGGGCAGACAACTGTAGTCCCAGCTACTCAGGAGGCAAAGGCAAGAGGATCACTTGAGCCTGAGAGTTTGAGGTTAATGTGAGTTACGGAGAAGCCACAGCACTTTACCCAGGGCTATAGAGTGAGACCCTGCCTTAAAAAATAAAAACAAAATGAAAAGACTATATGAAGTACAAAACTAATTTTTGATATATTCTTCTTAAGGACCATAAAAACTCTTTAACTTTTCCTATATACCTGAAAATGCGAATGATTTGAGTTCTATAGTAAAAGAGGTATTTTCTATGAACTAGGCTGATGCTAAGGCCCTCTAGCCTGGGCAACAGAGTAAGACACTATTTCAAAAAAGCAAAAAAGTATTTTCTTTGCTATGAGAAAGTGAGATATATACACATACATAAATGAGCTATATTTGTGGAATTTATTAGAAGAATTTTTGTGATTTTCGGCATACTCGTGAATATGTGGCTATTATCTCCATGACTATATACCTACTTGAATATTTATCTAACATGTATTTACAGATGAATAAGTTTTATAAAATCTTCCTAATCTCATTAGCTAGTTTTATTAATACTGATACATATATAATGAGACTTCAGTGTAATTTATTAAGGTGTTTTGTTTGATTTGATTAATAAGAAAGTAAAATAGAATGTCATTATTAAAATTTTTTTTGAAGGTCTTCAAATTTTAAGGACTTTCTAAAGAAATGTTTGGAAAAGAATGTGGATGCCAGGTGGAACACATCTCAGCTACTTCAGGTAGGATATTACTGGGATGAGAAAAGCAAAACATGTAATTATTTTAACATCTCTTTAAGAAGAATACAGTTTCATGGGGACGCTGTCTAGAGGCACTCAGAATGGTGCAGTGTTTGACATAATGTCTTAGGCTTTCCTACAATATAGCCCCTAACAAAACCAGGCTGTCCTGAACCCCTGGTAATAGAATTGTTTACCTTTATACCAAGAAGGTTGGGAAAGCGCCAAAATCTGCATATGGCCTGTGCCCAGGCAGACTTGGAGGGGTTCACACTATGAGACCTGAAGTTCTTATGAGGTTGTCTAAAACAAAAAAAAAACATGTCAGCAGGGCCTGTGGTGGTTCGTTGTATTCTAAATGTGTTCGTGATAGGATCAAGTGTGCTTTCCTTATTGAGGAGCAGAAAATCATTGTGAAAGTGTTGAAATAAGAAAATGAAGCTTTTTTGAGTAATAAAGATTAAAAGCCTTAAAAAAAAAAAGAAGAAGAAGAAGAAGAAGAGGCGATGCCTGTGGCTCAAGGGAGTGGGGTGCTGCCCCCCATATGCCGAAGGTGGCAGGTTCAAACCGAGGCCTGGCCAAAAAAAAAGAAGAAGAAGAATACAATTTCAGATTAATTCAATGTGCTCTCTTTCCACTTGAGTTTTCTTTGGAAAATCAAAATGATGGTGGTTAATGTTTGCTTTACAGACCTAAGTTCTGCTATTAATAATAGGCATCCAGCTTAAAAGTCATTCTTCCTACAAGTTTTTGATTTAATTTAATTGTTCTTTTCATTTTGTTAGTTATTTCCATTATGTTTCTCCAGTTCTAGAAAGTAAGCACCTTCAGTGCAGGGGCCATAGCTAATTAATTATTTTTATTTTACAATGAGGGTGAATGTTCAGTAAATACTGTTGACTTTTAAAAAATGATATTAAGGCTGGGCACAGTGGCTCATGCCTATAATCCTAGCATTGTGGGAGGCCAAGGTGGGTGTATTGCTTGAGCTCACACGTTCGGGACCAGCCTGAGCAAAAGTGAGACCCCCATTTTTACTAAACATAGAAAAACTGAGGCAGGATCACTTAGCCTAAGAGTTAGAGATTGCTGTGATTTATGATGCCACAGCATTCTATCCAGGGTGACAGCTTGAGACTCTATCTCAAAAAAATAAAATGATATTAAAGTTATTGGATAAATTTATTTTTGGTTTATAACAGGACTTTTGTTGCATATATTAAGTAACAATTTGTCAAATAATATTATAGACAGGCTCGGCGCCTGTGGCACAAGTGGCTAAGGCGCCAGTCATGTACACCCAGGAGGTGGCGGGTTCAAATCCAGCCCGGGCCCGCCAAACAACAATGACGGCTGCAATCAAAAAATAGCCAGGTGTTGAGGCGGGCGCCTGTGGTCCCAGCTACTTGGGAGGCGGAGGCAGGAGAATCGCTTGAGCCCAGGAGTTGGAGGTTGCTGTGAGCTGAGATGCCACGGCACTCTACCCAGGGTGACAGCTTGACGCTCCTGTTCAAAAAAAAAAAAAGTAATAATAATAATATTATAGACAGACAAATAGAATGACAGCTCTGGAGGCAATTAGTATTAGGTTGAGATACTGTATAACTTCTGTGTTATATTGTTTTAGGTTGACCTGTTTATCTGAGGAGAAAAAGCAGGAAAAATTGCCTCATTGTATGCAACAAGTTTAATCCCCAGACCATACTTTCTAATTATTTATTTGTTTGCCAGGCTGGAGTGCAGTGGCATTGTCATAATTCACTACAAGCTCAAAATTCCTAAGCTAAAATGATCCTTCAGCCTCAGCTTCTGCAGTACCTGAGACTACAGGCACATGCTTCCCTACTTGGCTATTGTTTTTGTATTTTTTGCATAGATGGGGTCTTGCTATATTGCTCAGGTGGCTTAAACTTCTGGCCTAAAGCGATCCTCCTACTTTGGCCTCCCAAAGTGCTAGGACTACAGGCATGAGCCACTGTGCCTGACCCATGCTTTGTATTATTTTTTTTCTACCCTCACATTTGAAGGTCTCCTTATGCAGAGATGATTAAAATGCCTTCTTAGTCTCAAGATTGTCAGCGTCATGCCCTAACTACAGGTATTCCTAGACACTTTTCATAGACCTCTAAAGGTTTTGGAATATTGAGGCTTTGATAGGATTTTTTTGCTAGGATATAGATTGTTGTTACTTTTTTAGAATTAATAATGTACTGACTTGAAATTTGCTTTAAATTTAAACTTTAATTTTCGATTTTGAAATTTTCAAACATTCAGTAAAGTACCTGTACCTACTACCCAGGTGTAACAATTCTTACAGATCTAATTGTAGGCCATCCCTACAACTTTTGCTCAGCTCCCCTTCCCTTTTTCCTTCTGACATGTAACATTATCTGAGGTTGTCTGTCTTTTTCCTGCCCATATTTTTGTATTTTTTGTATATAAAAATGTGTTTTTGTGTGCATTTGAAACTTAGTTTACAAGCAGGTATTTCAGTTGTTATTGAATATTCTCTTTTTAATGATTAATAGCATCCCTTTGTTACTGTTGACTCCAACAAACCAATCCGAGAATTGATTGCAGAGGCAAAGGCTGAAGTAACAGAAGAAGTTGAAGATGGCAAAGAGGAAGATGATGATGAGGAACCAGAAAATTCTCTGGTTAGTATTTAGAAAGGAAATTTCATTTAGTTCATTTTTATAGGTATCTAAGGATTGATAGGTGGCAGTGCAAAACCTTTAATTATAGAGGTGAAGATTAGTAGGAAAGTTGCTCCTTACTATACATTTTTGTTATATTTATTATGTGAAGAATTCTCAATTCTTTAAATTATTTTTATAACTTCAGCAACATTTACTGAATAGAAATACTAAATCATCATATATATGTAAACATTGTTTTGGTCACCATCTCAAAGTCATTGTTTAACACTAAAATGTATATAATCTTTTCTAGCCAATACCTGCAAGTAAGCGTGCCTCTTCTGACCTTAGTATTGCCAGCTCTGAAGAAGATAAACTTTCACAAAATGCTTGTATTTTGGAATCTGTCTCAGAAAAGACAGAACATAATACTTCTGAAGATAAATTCAAAAACAAAGTTCTTATTGAAAAACCTGCCACTGATGAACCTGAAAAGGCTATGGATGGAATTAATGAACATGTTAACAATGCTCATTTAGAAGCCATGGCTGAGCTCCATGATAGAACAACAATAATCAAAGAGAATGGGAGAGAGGGGAAGAGACCTAAGCTTGAAAATCTACCTGATTCAGAAGACCAAGAAACTATGATCACTAGTTTAGTCAGTGAAGAAAAAGAGAATAATGTAATGATAACTTTAGAAACAAACATGGAAGATAATCTAAAATCTGGAGAAGAAAGAGATCAGGAAGAGCAACAGGTATTTGAAAATAGGAATATAACATCCGAAGAAATTAAAGATACTACTATTCAAATAATAGATTTAGTTTCTCAAGAGACTGGAGAAAAAGAGGCAGACATTCAGACAATTGATAATGAAATTGGGCTTAAAAAGGAAGACAGCCAAGAGGAATTTGGAAAAGATGACAAAACTCAAAAGGACGTGATCAGCGACACAAATAATGTGATAGGAATAAATGAGGCAGTGGATGTTCAGAAGGTTGTTGAAAATAGTGCTGAGGATACTCAGAGTAATGATGGGAAAGAAGTGATTGAAGTAGGCCAGAAATTAATAAGCAAGCCTGAGGAGGGTCCTGAGGCTGCTGTTACTAAGGAAGTTTCTATTAAAGAAATAGTTGATACTAATGAGACAGATCAAGAATCTGTAGAAGATAAAAATAAGAAACAATTAATAAACAGTTCAGAGAACATATTGGAGACCATTGAGGAACCAGGGACAAATGAGGTTGAAGAAATTACTGAGCCAAGTAGCATAGAAGAACTAGAGGTTGGAAGTGTAGCGGCTGATATTGACCAGAAGGCTTTAGGAAGTGAAACTGGAGCTGCTCATAAAACCACTTCTCAGATAGATACAGAAAAAGAGGAAATCCCATGTGAAGTGCCAATTAAAACAGAACCTCACGTTACTGCGGCTTCACAGCCCAGTGAACCTCAGCCTGTTCCAATACCCAGTATTAATATCAACTCTGGAGATGGAGAAAATAAAGGAGAAATAGGTGCTTTGCAAACAACTGAAACCGTGCTGCCTCCAGAGTCCGAGAATCAAAAGGAAAACGATACTGATTCGGGCACTGGTTCTACTGCTGATAACAGCAGCATTGATTTGAACTTATCCATTTCTAGCTTCCTGAGCAAAACTAAAGACAGTGGATCAATATCTTTACAAGTAAGTATATATAGGTTCTTGTTTGGGATTTTCTTTGCCACTTTGGCAATTCAGAATTTATGTGAAATTCATGTGTTGAAAGTAAAACAGCATTAAATCAATGTAGTATTAATCCTGTAAATCAGCAATTCTCAACCTGTGGGTCGTGACCCTTTTTTAACAATGAAAGTACATTACAGCATGAGGAAGGCTGAGAACTACTGCTGTAAATATTTACAGCTTATGAGGCAATCAGTTAAAAAGAATTAAGAAGAGAGATTCTGGAGGTAATTTTTAAATTTTTTGGTAGGACCTACCTATTTTTGCAAGCAATATAAATAAACAGTACAATATAGATGCTTGGTGTGATTTAGGTATTTTTGTTGCCTATACCTGGATGTGACTTTAACAAAAATCAATAATATGTTTTAAAAAAATGGAAAAATTGAAAGAATGCTCTCTTTTTAAGTATGCTCAAGGTATAAATAATTATTGATTTACCACTTATTCAAAGTTATATAGACATTGTTTCTGCCATGAGAACCATTGTGGGAAAAACAGACAAAACCAAACACTAAAATCTAGTACACTTAGAGATTTTGGGGTATAATTCTCAAATCTTAGTTTGCTTGGAATACCAATGGAAGCTATGTAGAAAGTGGAAACAAATCCAAATAATTAGTATTTGTAACAGAAGATCCCATGAAATTCTAATATAGGTGAGCTATGTTCTACCCTTTAGAAAATACTTCTTAGAGACTCTTGGTTGATAAGTAGCAGAAGAAAAGACAGAAAAGCAGAAATAACCTAGGAAAACTGACTTTAGGGACTCTAGGGCATGACTGATGAACCTGCCTGTCTGCCCCAGATTATTACATATACAATAGAACCTCCATAGTTCACTTCCTGCTTATATTGACCACCTCCTTAAGTTGATCTAATTTTCATAGACCAGACATTCACCACATGTACTTGTCAGTACAGTAGGCCTAGTTCCTTATGTTGACTACCCGTATGTGTTGACCAGTTTGTTATAGTCCCTTGAGTGATCCACTTACAGAGGTTCTACTGTATTTCCTGGATTTTCTTCTTTTTTTTAGTTTACTTTGTTTCACTGGCTGAAGTTTCACCAATCTAAAATTCATTCAGCTTCTTTAAAATGTAAATACTTATGTATAAATTAAAATATTAATTGTGGGATGTTAGTAGGAGCTGAAGAAATGTGAAGCTTGTAGGTTAAAGGGAGATAGATGTATTTTGTAGAGCATGCCGGTTTTAGATTTTTGAGGAAGCCTACCATAGTCCAGGGCTTAGGAAGAGGAACATGAAGATATTGCAACCTTGAGGTATAGAATTTTTAAGTGGAGAGGTTGTGGAAAGGTTATTGGAAGGTGCCAAACTGTTTATAATTTTTTTTTTTTTTTTTGAGGTGGAGTCTTGCTCTGGTTGCTCTAGGCTAGCGTACGGTGGAGTCAGTCTAGCTCACAGCAACCTCAAACTCTGGCTTCAAGCAGTCCTCCTGTGTAGCTGGGACTATAGGTGCATGCCACATTGTCCATGGTTTTCCTATTTTATGTAGAGATGGGGTCTCGCTATATTGCTTAGGTTGGTCTCAAACACGTGGCCTCAAGTGATCCTTGGCCTCCCAAGGTGCTATGATTGTAGGCATGAGCCACTGTGTTTGACCAGATCTGGTACTTTTAGGGTACAGTAGAGGTGCTCTCTTTCTACTAAGAACACACACATTCATCTCTGTCTCTGCAATGGAGGAGGGCTGTTAATAATATTGTTATTGATTAAATATGTTTTTATTCCCGGTTTTGGCTCTTGGCAATGTTTAAAAATTACCTGAGCACTTTTTCAAAAAGTAGATTCCTAGCCACCACCAGACTTAATTGATTAAAGGGATGGGCCCTGGAATTCATTTTTTAGTGTTTTGTCAGTGAAAAAGCAGAGGAATCTGAGAATTTACAAAGTGAACAGTTGAAGAAAAAATGGCTAACGTGTAAAAGTTGTACTAATTAGTCATTTATGTGAATTGCTCATTATTACTTTAGTCTAATGATGATGTGATGTCATAAAAGTTGTACATCATCAAATGTATGACGTACAACATATGAATGTATTCATATGTAAGTCAGATAAGGTTTTAAGTGATAATTGGTTTCATAGACCAGTTCTATTTCTATTAATATGTGTAGTTTTCGTTGCTGTTCACTGTGTTTTTAAAAGAATGTTCTCTACCTTCAGTATTCCCTATATACAGTCTAATTAAAATAAAATTTCACTCAGGAAACAAGAAGACAAAAGAAAACATTGAAGAAAACACGCAAATTTATTGTTGATGGTGTAGAAGTTAGTGTAACAACGTCGAAGATAGTTACAGATAGTGATTCCAAAACTGAAGAGTTGAGGTTTCTTAGGTGAGTAGAGAAACAATTAATTAAACCTGATTTGTAACTTCTTTTCAGTCTCTGAAGAATAGAGAAATAAGGCAAATTCTTGGCTGACTCTGGATTATTCTTTTACTTTAAAAAATTTTTTAAGCTTTTTATATTAAGTATTACTTCAAAGGTGTAATTTTTACTGCCTTAATTATCATTACCATTAAATTTCATCAGACGTCAGGAACTGCGGGAATTAAGATTTCTTCAAAAAGAAGAGCAAAGAGCCCAACAGCAGCTTAACGGTAAACTGCAGCAACAACGAGAACAAATTTTCCGTCGCTTTGAGCAGGAAATGATGGTAAAGTCTTAGATTTGTATAACATTTTGTGTTAATGAGAGTTAGTGAAAAATCACTCTAGCAGTTTTCAGAACTTGTTTTCTGATGGCCAGATTACTCTGGTTTTATGATGTATTTCTGGCCTTTTTGGTATTCTGTTCACCTCTGAGAGAGGATAGTGCTCTTTTGTCTTTAAAGGATTGTCGGATTCCAATCATGAAAACTTAAAATCACAAAGCCAATAGATGGCATACAAAATTCTTAAGTGCCTGTTGCTTCAGTGCTTTTTTTCAGTGCTTCAGTCTGATTTTTCAGAATTAGAATCCAAGATTTTAAGCCAGTCTAGATCATTTGTCTTCAAACCTGGCTGAGTAGTATGACTTCTTAAATCTTTTTTAAAAATACACTTTCTTCTCTGGTTCCTTCAGTTAAGCCTCCAGATCCTTTTTCACTGATGCTAGAACAAACAGTGCTGACCAGTCAAGTCAAGGGTAATTGCCATTCAGCCCTTCAGTTTTTGCCTTGTGTCCAAAGCTGGAGAAGGAATTAGTAATGTGATAAGAAATATTAGTAATTCATGTTGAATATCTGCCTTAACATTAGGTTAGAAAAAGATCATTTGAAACGTTAAGTATTCATGTTTTTAATATAATCCTTTTCTTGTCTTGTAATTCTAAGTGATAGATTGTTTTGTGTGAAGTGTGACATTGTTGATGATACATGTTGTGTCATAACTGAGAATTCCTAAGAAAAAGTAGAACTTCTGTTCTCATTGAGTATTTTTATAGTGCTTATATTTTGTTTGCACAATCTTATAAAAACTATCCACCCCACCTCAGGTATTTTCTGAAATATTTTGCTTTGCAGTTTTTTAAAAAGCTTTCTTTAAAATGCTTAAATATGCCAATATGCAGAATTGCAGTATTACTTGAGTGTTATATAAACAGGAGTCTTTAACTTATTAACATTTTTATTGGATAAATATTGACATTTTTCTAACTTGCTGTAGTACTTCATAACAATTGGGTATTCTGGATTGCCTGAAAGTTTTGAACATTATATTACAATACAGGAAAATATTTTCCATGTTAGAACAAAAAAAAGACCTACTTGTGTTTTAAAAAAAAATTTTATAACACATTTTAGTGTATTTGACTTGTCAGTATTGTAAAGATGTCACATCAGTGAATTTAAATGCTAGTTATGTGCTCTTAGTAAACTTCTAAACTAGAGTGAGTTAACATGGGTGATCATCAATCATCTTGAGCTACATCTTTTTACAGAGTAAAAAGCGACAGTATGACCAGGAAATTGAGAATCTAGAAAAACAGCAGAAGCAAACTATTGAACGTCTGGAACAAGAACACACAAATCGCTTGAGAGATGAAGCCAAACGTATTAAAGGGGAACAAGAGAAAGAACTGTCCAAATTTCAGAATATGCTAAAGAACCGAAAGAAGGAGGTAATTTTAACTACCATTTTTAATTACTGAAGCTATATTTTTAAAATAAAATTTATGACTAAGGAAATAGGAATAATGATAATAGTTAAATAGCACTCATTTCATTCTTTCATTCAATCTTCCCAACAGTCGTATAGGGTAGCAGTTAGGTCAGGTGTTAGCCCATCTGACTGCCTGGAAGACTGAAGTAAAAGAAGTTTTAGTGGCCTGTTCAAGATCACAAACTATCGTTAAATGGTCAGCTAAACCTTGAACCAAGTCTTCAAACCGAATCTCCTTTTATTAGTACAAGATATCTAAGGCCTCACATAGAACTATTTTTATTTTTTTACAAAAATTTGCTATGTTGTGTTTGCTGGTGGTAGCAATAATTCATTATTTATAAATTGTCACTTTTGGTTCATACTTCTTTTTTTTTTTTTTTTTTTGAGACAGAGCCTCAAGCTATCCCCCTGGGTAAAGTGCCATGGCATCACGCTCACAGCAACCTCCAACTCCTGGGCTCAAGCGAGTCTCCTGCCTCAGCCTCCCAAGTAGCTGGGACTATAGGCGCCCGCCACAGAGCCCGGCCATTTTTTGGTTGCAGCCATCATTGTTGTTTGGCGGGCCCGGGCTGGGGATTCGAACCCGCCACCTTAGGTTTATGTGGCTGGCGCCTTAGCCACTTGAGCCACAGGCGCCGAGCCTCTTTTTTTTTTTTTTTAAAGACAGAATTTTACTGTGTCACCCTCAGTAGAGTGCTGTGGCATCACAGCTCACAGCAACCTCAAACTCTTGGGCTTAAGCAATTCTCTTGCTTCAGCTTCCCAAGTCCCAACTGGGACTACAGGCACCTGCCATAACACCCAGCTATTTTTTGGTTACAGTTGTCATTGCTATTTAGCAGGCCAGGGCTGTGCTCAAACCACCAGCCTTGGTGTATATGGCTGGCACCCCACACACTGAGCTATGGGTGCTGAGCCTAGTTCATACCTTTAACAAATTTCTTTCTTGATTAGCTTCATTATCTTCCCTGGACATTATGCCAAACAAAAGCTAAATGACTTGAAATTCTAAATAATGTGTGTAAGTTCATCTAATTGTGAGCTACTTTGAAGAATCAAAAGTAGAAATCTCTATAAAGTCATTTGAGTAGAATGAGTTTTTTTTTTTATTTTTCCACGTTATGGAATGTATTTGCAATATTAAGAAGGATGGTTATTGATTCAGAAGGAGGATTTACGTATTAGATTAATAATATGTAATTTTATCCCAAATTAAAACTATGAAAGCTTTACATAAAAGCAAGTTTCAGAGAGAATTTGATAATTTATTTTACATCTTCAGTATGGGAGGGGGGGATTTACCTTTCTGTGTTATAAAAGACTTTAGGGATGAAAATTATGATCAGTTGCATTAGAGTTGGGTCAAAGGAAAAACTCAAGCGAGTAAATGCATTTTTACTTTCATTATACATCTCAAATACCCAGGTTCATTGATTCTAACATTTAAGTTATGAAGAAAATTGAATGTCATAATGATGCTTCTTAAGGATCTGCTTTAAAAAGGATAGAGTTGAACATTAATAATTATAGTATGTTCTGTGATTTCTTCAAGTAAAAATGAGTGAAGTGCTGTGTAATTTTATTTGATGTGGATTCCATTTCTAAAAATCACTGTTTTTGTTACTGGTCATTGTGTTTTATGTAGAATTGCTCTCTATATGCCATCAGGTATGAGTTTACTGGGCCTACATGTTAATTTTATCAAAACAATAGGTGGTTTTATTGAGAAATTATTCTTTATATCAGATTAAATTTAAAAATTTTACAAGTAAATATGTAGTTAACCCTAAGTATATTAAAGTCTAGTTTTTGTTATTGTTTTGGGGTGGGACAGTCTTAGTGAGCACATTTGAGATCAATGATATGCATGTTTTAAATAATTATGTGTTGTTTTTTTCTTATCGCTAAACTTCTTGCATTTGGGGAGTCTCTTCCTTTTGATGGTGATTTGGCTTCACGAGGGATTACTGATGGGAAATTTTTAAAAACTATGTTAAATCAAAATCAGTCTCTTTCACAGACCATCAATGGCATGTGGTGATTTGGAATCTGGTTTCTTTTGGTGCTTCTACTTGTAAACACATGATCATTTTCATAGTTGGATTACACAGATCTATTATTAGATGAAATACACATCTAGGAGTTTGAAATGATTAAAAGAAAGACCTCTAAAATGTACTTCTTATGCTTTAACTGGTGTAGTAAATCACACCTTACTAAACTGTTAAAGCGTGCTTGTATTACTGACTTTTAAGTCCTACAAGCTTTAAATTGTCAGCAAAGGAGAATGTTACTCTAATCCTATGTAAGATTATCAGATATGTTCTTTTGTTGTTGTTGCAGTTTTTGTTTGGGGCTGGGTCTGAATCCGCCACCTCCGGCATATGGAGCTGGCGTCCTACTCCTTTGAGCCACAGGCGCTGCCCAGATATGTTCATTTTTATCACACCATGTATAAGATGGTGTGTTTTATTAAAAAAGCTTTGTATCTATTTATTTCTCCTTTGTATAATCTTAAGACTTTCTTTCTTTTATCCTTTTCTTTTTTTGGTCTCAGTAAGTGGATTTTATGTGAAATTATTTCTTTGGACAAGCCAGTTCAATATTTCAAACACTGTCAATAGATAGTTTATAATTTTATCAGCTTTCAAGGTCAGTTGAATTTATCACCTTTAGTTCAGCATCAGTGCTGCAGGTAGTTCTTTACTGATTTTATCTTTGGATCTTTAAGACAGAAAATGATATATAGGGCTAATTAAGCAACTAATTAATCTTTTCTATGGTGTCATGTCCCTTTCTGCACTGAGATTATGCATGTTCTATCCTTTTATTCTTTTTCACCAAACTAACACCTGTGCTAATGCATGTTGAAAGGAACTTTTTAACAACTTTAATATTTGACTTGAAGCTTATCTGCTCACATAAATTCTTGCTGTGGAGAAAGTATTATTTCCCCACCTCCTGCATGCTTATACACTGTAGGTTATAAATGAAGTGGAGAAAGCACCCAAAGAGCTGAGAAAAGAGCTCATGAAACGCAGGAAAGAGGAGCTTACACAAAGCCAGCATGTTCAGGTAACAGCAGCAGCTTACTGCTACTAAAAACAGAAAGCACCATTTTCTCACAGCTCAATGAACCATGGTTGAAAGGGTAAATTTTAACTGTAATTATTGTATAACATAGACTTCTCCGACCCAAAGATTCCCAGGATTTCTTTATATAGTACTAAATTCTCGCTAAAGTGACATTTAAGTTACTAATATGAAAGTAAATGGAATGCTTGGACAGTGGAATCCAGATGAAATAAATAAGTATGTTAATGTATAATCCACTGTTATCTGATTTTAATCATAAGAGCTTATATTTTTAAGTAATAATGCCAATTTTTGATAGATAACATTTTAGGGTGAATATATATAAGCATTGTGCTTATAAAAAGTATTCCTGTTAAAAGTAAGCCTACATATCATTTCTATAAAGTTTAAAGTTAGAAGAAAAATGATGAATGGTAATGTTAAATTGTAGACCAAACATTTAATGCTTTTAAGCTCAACAGCATAAGCAGCTTTAAAAACCAGATTTTAAATACTAAGTATGTTATTTTTCTTTTTGGTTCAGGCTCCTGCAATAAAATGGATACACTATTTTTACTCACATAGAGTTAGAGAAACTTGATAAGGTGGAGCTTTATATAAAATGAGAGAATTCTTTATAAAAGTAGATAAATTAGTACTTTTTCTTTTTTGAGGCAGAGTCTCACTTTATTGCCCTCAGTAGAGCGCTATGGCATCACAGCTCACAACAACCTCCAACTCCTGGGTTTAGGCGATTCTCTTGCCTCAGCCTCCTGAGTAGCTGGGACTATAGGCACCCGCCACAATACCCAGCTATTTTTTTGTTGCAGTTTGGCTGGGGCTGGGTTTGAACCTGCCACCCTCTGTATATGGGGCTGGTGTCCTACTCACTGAGCCACCCACGTCACCTGATAAATGAGTATTTTTAATATAATTTTCTCGAATTTCACATGACTTTACAAGGCCTTTTATACAAAGAAAGGTGAATTTTTAATTGTTTGTACTCAATCTGGAGCCACAAATTGAAAAATAAACACACTTTTTTTTTTTTTTTAAATAGAGCCTCAAGCTGTCGCCCTGGGTAGAGTGCTGTGGCATCACAGCTCACAGCAACCTCTAACTCTTGGGCTTAAGTGATTGTCTTGCCTCTGCCTCCTCAGTAGCTGGGGGCACCCGCCACAACACCCTGCTATTTTTTGGTTGTAGTTGTCATTGTTCTTTGGCAGGCCCAGGCATGCACCCACCAGCTCTGGTGTATGTGACTGGCACCTTAACTGCTTGAGCTACAGGTGCCAAGCCAGCACACTTTCCAGTTACATGTATCAATGACAGGAAAAAGAAACAGGGACTATGTGTTAAATTGTTGCTTTGAAGTATCTTTCTAATGAGTTTTTATGTGATTTGAAGTGGTTTCTAGATTTTTAGATTTTATAGACCCATAAGACAAATCACAAAAACAAGAAAAACCCCTGACAACTATGGCATGAACTGCCATTAAAAAATTTTTTTTTTTAATTTTGTGAAATAAGGATATTTAAAAACTGCCATTTGCTGGTCATTATATGACTTCCAAGGAGAGAATATTTTTAATACCCTGAAAAATAAAGAAAATATAATCTTGGAATTTTTAATTTAAATAAAGCCAGCTTATCTGAATAAATTTGGTTCACTTATTTTTTTCTTATTATGAACCATTAAAACATTTTGTCTTGACCTGGTATTGAGATTACTAGTTTAAGGTGCAAATAGCAAACACAACATTTACTATGTGTCATTTACACCGTTCTTAATGCTTTATGTGTGTGAACTCATTTAATCTAATTTAACTACTCTTGAGATAAATACTCTTGTTATCCCCATTTTACAGGTGAGGGAACTAAAGCAGAGGAAAGTTGGGTGACTCTCCCAAGGGCACATATCTGTTAATGGTTGAGTCAGGATTCTCATCCAGATAAGCATAGCTCTACATATTGTACAGTGGTACATTGAACCACTGCACCGTTCTACCTTTCCTCTTTAAGCTGCATGCTCTGTGCTGTACCTTAGCTTTACTCAGCTTGACCCAGTTCTTGGCCATGTCTTGTTAACAAGTAAAGAGGAAGTCCTAGTTGGCCACATACCTGCTTTTGACTAATTTGAATTTCAAACCAGATAATAACAATACAGTTTTGCCTTATAAAGGAATATGGTCTTTTTTTTTTAATTCTAAAAGGTAACATATCAAACTCTACAGAGTCAAAATTGAGAATTTAGTGTTGAATGAATAAGGTAATCTTATACTTTAATAAGTTAGTTTTTTGTGATTTTTTTCATACAGCTTTGGAGGATCGCCTGTATTTGCCAATTAGAACTAAAAGTAATAGTAAATTAATGAGGAATTTAGTGATCTAACAAATTTTAAAAGTATTTCTATTGTTTCTAATGAAGGTACCAGAACTTGATAACTTTACAATCTATTTTAAGCTGTTTTTGAGATTTTATAAGTAATAGCCATATACTCATAGAGCTAGAACATAGTTGATCATCTAAGTCCATTGCTTTTCAAACCAAGCTTCTAGGAGCTTTTGAGTTTTGAAAAAGCAACTCTGAGGGCCAGGTGTGGTGGCTCACGCCTATGATCCTAGCACTCTGGGAGCCTGAGGCAGGTGGATTGTTGAGCTCACAGGTTCAAGACCAGCCTGAGCAAAAGTGAGACCGTCTCTACTAAAAATAGAAAAACTGAGGCAAGAGGATTGCTGAGTCCAAGAGTTGGAGGTTTCTGTAAGCTGTGACACCATGGCCCTCTACCTAGGGTGACAGCTTAAGACTCTGTCTCAAAAGAAAGGAAAAGCAACTCTGAAAATCTTGCAAAGGCAAGGCCCCTGCTTCTATTTCAGTAGATGCAACACTAGTTTTGATCTGTTTTACAAATTGAGGTTTCTTTGGTGAGTTCTAAAGTGGATTCTACTAGTTTAAAAAACAACAGCAACACACCAGAAGTTGGAAGTGACTTACCTAGTTCAAATCCTTCATTTTACAAATGAGAAAGAGGCGCCTCTGTTAAGTGACTTGCTCCAGAAACTCCACATTTGTATAATGATTCTTTCCATTACTCAAAGTCGCTCAGATATGTTCTCACCTGGGAGGTGCACTGTATTCTGCTTCACAGGGTGTTGCTCAGGTCATGATTCAGTCTTTTCAGTTGTCATCTTGTGCAGTCTTCAACGCCCAAATGCAGGACGTAAGTCCCGCATGCCTGTGGGAGGATGCCTTCTGTTTAGCTGCTTTTTCTTTGACTCACATGTGCCTTTTCCTTGTTGGCTTAATTTGCTAAAATCTAGAAGATCAATAGATGATAACATCTATAATAAAATTAATAGTGGTAATCGGACTTATAGTACAGTATAGTATTCTTCAAAGAATTTTCACATTTGATTCTCATTGCCACCATCCTAATAAAGGGATGGAGTTATGTCCATTTTACAGATGAAGAAATTGAGGCATAGAAGATTAAGTGATCTACTTAAAGTCCCATAAGAAATTAATGGTGGAGCTGGAACACTTTTAATACAGTGTTCTTTTTTCTATCTGTAATTTCTAAAACCATAAATTCTAATTTGAGATCTTCATTTTTTTCAAGTAAAATATCTTCCCAGTAGTATTTTATAAGCTTTGCACATGTGAGAAATTGAATGCTGTGATTAGAGTTTTATCTTTGTGTGAAGTGATATTTTGATTGCATATATGTCTATTTAGATGTTTTAATTATGGATATGGTCAGAAAAGCCATGTTAAATAGTGATTTTAGTTCCATTTAACATTAGTTTCCATTTATTCAAATAGTTATGAATAGTGAGTCTCTGTTCACCTTATTGTAGTTTTAAGTTCAGTCTGGAATTCTAGGCTGTATTCTTTCTCACAGTTACCCCAGGGAAATGACTTCCTCATTTAACACTGTAATTTTTGTTTGGGATGTTTGAAATATATAACTGGAGTAGATAGAATACAGCTTGATTTTAATCCCTCCTTTTCCCTCTCCTGATTAGACTTTTTTTTTAATAATTGGCATCTGTTTAATTCTTTCTACAGTTTTCTAAATGAGTAAGTAAAACAATGATATTTTTAAATGGAGGGAGAAATTATGAATTACGATCACTTTTCTGATCATTACCATTTTAGCCTTTGTTTTGAGTTAAAATTGATCAAGTTCTGTACAAAGAGCTGAATATATGTAACAGTTTTCTAGAATCCAAAGTTGTATTTTTAATGTTTATGGTTATCTGACTACTATAATAAAATTCCTTATCAGAATCTATACTGGTACTTTTAAAGGGTACTCATTTTACACTTTATGTGTCCATTTTAAAAAACGAATTTGGGGACAGAGGGGAGGTGGAGAGGGGATTGGTAAACTCATCTACTGGGCACAATGTATGGGTATGTGACACACCTCCTGGATGAAGAGCTCAATTGCAACTTGGACTATCAAGTCAAACCCAAACAGTGTAAGCTAATCGTTTGCACCCTCATATTAATCTGAAAAAAATGAATTTGGCCTTAATAGTTTGGGGTCTTTTGTAACTTCTAATGATTATTCCATCTGTTGTGTGTTTTGTTTAAGGTGAATATAATTTGTGCAATCTTTTTGGGATAAGAAAAATCCCTTTTAACTCCTAAAAGAAGTTTATAATTACAGATTCCATTGTGAATGCATTGTACTTGGCTTTGAGTTAGGAAATTTAGTAAATGCTCAATAATACTAAGATTTCATTTCTTTTGAGGTAAATAAATAGTGTGTAAGGGATCTTATCAAAAAATTTTTATCTTTAATGTAAAAAATCCTTTGTGTTCATAGTATATAGTCACCCAGACTCTGCTTAATTATTCAAGTCTGTGGCTGTGTAAGGCAGCTGGGTTCTCTGTTAACTGATTGTTAGGACCTCTGCAATGGCCTACCTTGACTTTTGCCTGTTGATCCTTGTTTTACCTTCTGAAGCTGCACAACAACTAGTTCTCCGTGCTTCTATTGAGCAGTCTTAGCTCTTCTTTACCTCTTATATATTAGCTGCTTCAGGGAATACTTCTGTAGTTCTTTCATCAATTCATTGTGAGGTATGGTTTCTGAACCCTTTATTCCCAGCTTTCAGTTTCTACAGTTTAAAAGTGTGATACTAAGGGAAAGGGACAACTATGTGGACTGACAGACCAAGACTTTTGGTACTTGGGACCAATTGAATGGACGTTCCTTGAAGGTAGAAGTGTATTTATTTATTTATTTATTTTGAGACAGTCTCACTCTGGGTAGAGTGTCTTGGTGTCACAACTCATAACAACCTCAAACTCCTAGGCTCACAAACCTCAGCCTCCCAAATAGCTGGGATTATAGGTGCCTGCCACAACACCTGGCTATTTTTTTTTAGAGACAGGGTCTCGCTCTTGCTCAGGTTAGTCTCAAACTCCACCCACTTTTGCCTCCCAGAGTACTAAGATTATAGGTGGAGCCACCACTCCCAGTCTCTAAATCCTTTATTAACTTTAATACCCCTGTAAGTGTCTAATGCCCAGTACTAAGTGCTTGATAAAAGTTTTCCTTTTTGTTTTTACCCCCTCAGAACAACTCATGACTTGTAATAGTAAGTTTTCTTTGACCTGAACATTTACAAGTTTACAAAAAGTTTTACAATGTAAGTTAGACAATTTAATTTTATTACAAATATTTAGTATCATGAAAAGGGAGGCTTAAACAGTGTTCTGTGTTATACCTTAAAAGATAGCCCTGGTAATTTTTCATCCCTTTAAGTAAAACTCGAAAGTCCTTATTTTAGATAGTTGAATTTAAATATCCATTGAATTCTTTAAGTGATATTATTAATGTTTTTTCTTTGAAATTAGAGAAACAATTTAATTGTAAATATTTACTACGAGAAAAAGGGAATCTTGAACAACCTTTGTTGTAACTAGGTAAAAGATAGGCATGGAGATTTTTAATATCTTTAAGTAAAATTCAGAAGTCCTTATTTTAAATAGTTGAATTAAAAATTTTTTTAATGGTATTAATGTTTTATTTTGGTTTTTGAGACAGGGTTTTGCTCTGTTGCCTGGGCTAGAATGCAGTGGCATCATCATAGCTCTCTGCAACCTCAGGTGATCTTCCTGCCTCAACCTCTTTGAGTAGCTGGGACTGTACACATTAAGTAGTTGGGACTATATGCGTGCACCGCCATGCTTACCTAATTTTTTTAAAGAAATTTTTTGTAGAGACAGGATCTCACTATTGCCCCCGTTGGTCTTAAACTTTTGGCCTTAAGGGATCCTGTTCCTCTGACCTCCCAAGTGCTAGGATCATAGGCATGAGCCATCACACCAGGTCAATGATAATGTTTTAATGATAAAGTGACTGTAGTCAAGTTGGTGATTGTATTTTATGGAGGCAGTTCATTAGCCTTTTCTTTTTTCTACCATATATTTGTGTTTATACTAAAATATAAATGATGCAAGCGAGACAGCATTTATGACTCCAAATTACTTTATCACCATAGCATAAATGTAGTAAGGCAAACATCTTAAGGAACATTGCTGGGCACCTTTGTGCCTTGAGGAATAGGCTGGTAGTAATTTAGACCTTGTCAGACTCTGTGCAAGGTGTAAAGAATAGTTCCAAAGGTGGGGGGGTGATTTTCTTTTGGATTTGTAAGAAGAGGGATTATGAAAGAAGTGGTTCTTTAATTCTAAATTCTAAATCCATATAAAAATTGATCTGAATATCCCTTGAGCTAATCACCAACTGCTGTAACTGCTGAAATTGTTCAGAGAGAGTAGAGATCCAAATTTACATTTCATTAATGTGAATAGTCTTTTCTATCATAAATGTATGATTCTAGGAGAAAGACTAAGTTACTTTAACATTTTTTTCTTACACAATTAATCAAAGGGTTTTTTCATAAAGTAATTTTGGCATTTGGTCAGATAGTATGTACTTAATATTTATTGAATAAATTAGTAAACCCCAAATTGATAGAATTCTGTGATTATAGGAATTTTGTTTACAGAGTTATATAACTTTCTTGTTCCTAGTTTACATTTCTCTAGCAACGCATTATTTCTTGTTAGGTCTTCAAACTTTTGTTCTTCTTTATAGGCACAGGCTATACAGAAACTTTCTTCCTCTGTTAGTGTAGCCCTGGTATTTTTTCCTCTTTATTTCCTAAGATTCTCATATCTGTTTTCCTTATTAGCTTTTTTATTGCCTTTCTCCCTGAAGGACATTTCTTGTTTATTCTTATTTTAATCATACCACAGTTGAGTGAGTATTCAGTTTTAAAAGCTATAAATTTATTATTTTCCCCAACATGCTAGTGTAATAGGGCATTTTAATTACAAGTGGGCTACAAACTTCTTCTGTATGTATCGTTTTTTCCATATGTATCTGTATGTATGTGAGTTTTGAATATTATGTATTCTAATACTTTGGAGGGGATTGAATTGAGTGAGTAGGACATTTATATTATATATGTACTGTATAATTTTGGTGATTTTAAAATCCAGCTAACTTGGTAGGGAAATCTTATTAACCACCAGTGTATACAGTTATATAGATAAATGGATGTGAAGCTCATTAGATACCTATTTAACTTATTAACTATGTCTAATAGGAGCAAGAATTTGTTCAGAAGCAACAACAAGAATTAGATGGCTCTCTGAAAAAGATTATCCAACAACAGAAGGCAGAGTTGGCCAATATTGAGAGAGAGTGCCTGAATAACAAACAGCAGCTCATGAGAGGTATGGTACCTTCTGCACATGAGTGTGTTTATGAAGTGAGATCTCAGAAATATTGCAGAGATACACCTTGGGAATTATTTGAATGTTTTTCCTTAGGGTGGTAAAGGAAAAGGTAAAGCTGTGGTAAATAGGAGAAAAGAATCTTTTAAAATTAAGAAATACTATAAAATATAGAATTCTTTTATGACAGAAGTACACAAACATACAATTCTTAAAATTTATCTTGTCCAAGTGGTGCTAGAAATAGATGTCAGTAGTTTTGTGTATTCATCATGCCTTATAATTGTTGGTATACTTAATGGCTAGACAATAGAATGGGATTTTAAGTATTTATTTCCCCTAACAAATTAGCTTTTTTTTCTTTGTAATTGTGATTAAATGTAATTTTAGTTTAGAGTAGGACATTTTCTGTTTATATGGCATAGAACAAAATGAAAAGAGGAATTAATGTTACCTTTACATTGATAAATTTCTACTTAGAGCTTAGAATGTCTGTATGTGTATAACAGCATATATGAAACACTTTTATGTAAATAATAAAATGTAGAGCAAAGTAGATAGTAAAGAGAGCAAAATGACATTCTGAAAACTGCTATCTTCTAGCTCGAGAAGCTGCAATTTGGGAGCTTGAAGAACGACACTTACAAGAAAAACACCAGTTGCTCAAACAGCAGCTTAAAGATCAGTATTTCATGCAACGACATCAGCTACTTAAGCGCCATGAGAAGGTTAATGAAAATTTTTTAAATTTTATTTTAAAGTTTATTAACCTATTTAGTTTTGAAACTTATTTTCTTAGAGAATGAATTTTATTTATTTTTTATTAAATCATAGCTGTGTACATTAATACAGTCATGGGGTATAGTGTGCTGTTTTTATATACAATTTGAAATATTTTCATCAACTGGTTAACATAGCCTTCATGTCATTTTCTTAGTTATTGTGTTAAGACATTTATATTCTACATTTAGAAAGATTCACATGTACCTTTATAAGATGAACCATAGGTGTGAGATTCCCTTTTTGTCCTAAAATTTCTTTGATGAAGTTTAGAGTAATTGATTGTATCTTAATTATGATTGCAAAAACTTCTTCTTTTCTACCAATTATGAGGAAGGTAACTAATTACAATGCTGAAAAACCTTACACATTGTAATCTTCATTTTTTTTTTTTAAAGATAGGATTTTGCTTTGTTGTTCAGGGTAGTTGAGTGCCATTGTCTCAGCCTAGCTCACAGCAACCTCAAACTCCTAGGCTCCAGTGATCCTCCTGCCTCAGCCTCCCAGGTAGCTGGGACTACAGGTGCCCACCACCACACTTGGCTTATTTTTCTATTTTTAGTAGAGATGAGGTCTAGTTCTTACCCAAGCTGGTCTCAAACTCTTGACTCCTGAGCTCAAGCAATTCTTCATCTCAGCCTCCTAGAGTGCTAGGATTATAGGCATAAGCCACCATACCCAATCCCATCTTCTCTTTCAAATAGCTATTTTGGCTACATTTGTGGTTCAAGTATTTTAAAAACGTACACTTCCTGTACTTAGTAAAACATTTCCAATTTTATCACTAATAATTTTTCTTTTCTTTCTTTTCTTTTTTTTTTTTTTTGAGACAGAGCCTCAAGCTGTCCCCCTGGTTAGAGTGCTCTGGCATCACAGCTCACAGCAACCTCCAACTCCTGGGCTCAAGCGAGTCTCCTGCCTCTGCCTCCCAAGTAGCTGGGACCACAGGCGCCCGCGGCAACACCCAGCTATTTTTTGGTTGCAGCTGTCATTGTTGTTTGGCAGGCCTGGGCTGGATTTGAACCTACCACCTTAGGTGTATGTGGCTGGCACCTTAGCCACTTGAGCCACAGGCGCTGAGCCTTATTTTCTTATAAATTATTTTTTGCCTAATATTGGTATGGTCCCTATGCAACAAAGGAGAGAGAAGGGCAGTGCCTGTGGCTCAGTGAGTAGGGGTTGGCCCCATATACCGAGGATGGCAGGTTTAAACCTGGCCCTGGCCAAACTGCAACAAAAAAATAGCTGGGCATTGTGGCGGGTGCCTATAGTCCCATCTACTCAGGAGGCTGAGGCAAGAGAATCGCATAAGCCCAGGAGTTGGAGGTTGCTGTAAGCTGTGACGCTACAGTACTCTACTGAGGTCAACAAAGAGAGACTCTGTCTCTTAAAAAAAACCTTTGCCTTTAATCCTTGCAACAAAAAGTAAGCTGAAGTAACCTGATGTTAACCTATCAATTATTTCCCTATCAATATGTTTCCCTATTTCTGCCTTATAAGGAAAGTAACTTTGAAATGACCAATTTTCTTTTTGTTTTTTGTTTCTGCTTTATCTTTTCTCTGTCTATAATACCAACTTCTTTGCTCAGCACATCAGAACACTTATTCTATTTTTATGGAATGAAGTGTTGCCTGATTCTAGAATTGCAAATAAAGCCAGTTAAAAATTTTAAAAATAAATAAATAAAGATCAATTTCACGGTGAAAAAAAAGGAGAGAGAAATTATGGAAAACAACAATAAAATGACATGTTTGAATATATGTGTGCGTACTGAGGATTAAATTATATCTACATCACTGGATTCTGTTTATAACTTTCTTAGGAAACAGAACAAATGCAGCGTTACAATCAACGACTTATTGAGGAATTGAAAAACAGACAGACTCAAGAAAGAGCAAGACTGCCCAAGATTCAACGCAGTGAAGCTAAGACTCGAATGGCCATGTTTAAGAAAAGTTTGAGAATTAACTCAACAGCTACACCAGATCAGGATCGTGACAAAATCAAACAGGTGAACATACAAATTATTCTCTCCTCTTAGCTTTATAAAATTAGAATGACCTTTAGAAGTACCACATAATTATGTTGTAAATATTTAGAGCCAGTTTGGGTTTGTTGATTTTCACTTTAACCCTGTGGGCTAGGTTAGATATGCACATGACATGTGCCAATGTAATCTTCCCAGGCTGGTAGACTAAGCAGGGAGGAGCAAGATTTTAGCCCCAAAGCCATGCTGTAGACACCAGGTATTTGAATCTCAGCATATTATTATTACTTGTAGCTTTAGTTTATTTTACTTTAAGTTTTGTTAAATTCTTTTATATCTTTAGAATATGTAGAAATTACACTGCCGGTTTATCATAATTTATCTTTTCTCTGCCTTGTTTATAGTTTGCTGCACAAGAAGAAAAGAGGCAGAAAAATGAAAGAATGGCTCAGCATCAGAAACATGAAAACCAAATGCGAGACCTTCAGTTGCAGTGTGAAGCCAACGTTCGGGAACTGCATCAGCTGCAGGTTAGCTATAGAATCGTGATAGCTAGACTTGTGGTACATGGCTAGCACAGCTGGCTGGTTTTGAGGAAATAATAGCTAGCCAAAGCAAACTGTTACTTGATGAAAACACTAGGATTTAAAGGGTGTGTTTTTTGTGTAGCTTCCCATGAAGGTCAGTTTAGTGTCACAGGCACTTTTTTCTATTTTATATAACCCTGATTAATGTAAACATGAAGCTAAATTATAACGTAAGACATTGAGACTATCAGAAGCCATACAGAGTATTGTTTTTTGGTATATTTTGCAAGAAGATGTACAGTTTTCAAAATGACATAAACAGTTTTGTTGTCAGATTCTGAGTTTATTTCTGATCAGATTTTGAATTTAAAATTTCTCTTCCATTTTAGAGGGAAATAGTTGACTTTCTTCTAGGTTTTTGAAAAAAGTGGTAAGTTAAATATATAGGAATTTTTCTCCTAAGAAATTTAAAGGTTACTTTAGAGCAGTGTTCTCAACCTTCCTAATGCCATGACCCTTTAATACAGTTCCTCATGTTGTGGTGACTCCCTAACCATAAAATTATTTTCTTTGCTACTTCATAACTGCAATTTTGTTACTATTATGAATCGTAATGTAAATATCTGATATGCAGGATGTATTTTCATTGTTACAAAGGGGTCACGACCCACAGGTTGAGAACCACTGCTTTAGAGAGAGGTGATTATGGACCATACCTAGAGTGTACAGCCCATCTAGTTTTAACCTAAAATGTTTAAAATTGTAGAGTGCTGTATACAATGTGCATACTCTATGTATTTGCTTAATTTACTACAGTGGAATAGTTCTGATTCCACCTTCTGGCAACAACAGGTAAAATCTATGCAGACTGCCTTCTGTAAGGTCAGTTTGGGGCACCAGCAAACCTTCTTAGGAAAAACGAAGGCTCAGACTAATTCTTTTGAAGTTATTTTTGTTATAATTTTTTTGAAAAGTAAATTGATTTTAGGTTAATGTGAGGGTACAAACAACCAGGTCAAAATATTTGATTTTGTTAGGTAGAGTCCCTCTGTGGTAATGTCCCACATTTACTTTTGTATGGTATATAACAATCTAGCTTTTAAACTTGTGAAAATGAAGTTGTGACTAATTTCATAATTCTTGGCCCTTGGTTGTTAGATGAAAACTTAAATCTCAATAATAGCATGATGTTTGATGAATAATTTATTATTTTGGAAGTTAATTGTATTTGTGATAAATTGCTTGATTGAAATTTTTTCTACAAAACTTTATTTTCAGAATGAAAAATGCCACCTGCTGGTTGAGCATGAGACTCAGAAATTAAAGGAGTTAGATGAGGAACACAGCCAAGAATTAAAAGAATGGAGAGAGAAATTGAGACCTAGGAAAAAGGTAATATTAAAATCTTTAATTAAAATGATGTTTACACTAATTCATCCACTCAGCTCTTGGCACTTTATCTACTGCATGTCAGATACAGAGTCTAGGGCAGGAGATAGAGATGAAAAAACAACGTCCTTATCTCCAAAAGGTCAAGAATCTAGTGACAAGTAATTATAAATTGGTAGGGTCATACCAATGATACAAATTGGTAGGCTTTGTAGGAGTTAAGTTCAAGATATGAGGGGAAAGGAAGCAGAGAGCTTGAATGTGCCTGGGAAAGTCAAGGAAAGGCCTTAGAGAAGAAATGCCTTTATAAGCCAAGTGAGGCTTTGAGGATGAGTAGGCATGCTAGGCAATGGGCGGCACTATGGCTCAGTGAATAGGACGCTGGCCCCATATACTGAGGGTGGCAGGTTCAAACCCGGCGCTGGCCAAACTGCAAACAAAAAAATAGTTGGGCATTGTGACGGGCACCTGTAGTCCCAGCTACTTGGGAGGCTAAGGCAAGAGAATCACCTAAGCTCAAGAGCTGGAGGTTTCTGTGAGCTGTGACACCATGGCACTCCACTGAAGGCAACAAAGTGAGTTCTTTTTTTTTCTTCTTAAAAAAAAAAAAAACTTGCTAGGCAATGGACAGATTGGGGTGAAATTGGGTGATTTAAGTAGAGAGAACAGGATGAGTGAAAATGATGTATACAGACAATTACAAATCGATTTCTATCATTGGAACATTGTGCCCTTATCTATAAGTGTTAAGAAGGAAAGAAAAGAAATGATGACAGCTAAGTCTGGGCAAGGTCAACTAGAGCCATGTTACAAGGCCCTGGTTTGCTGTATAAATATGAAATCCAATGAAAATAGGGATGGCTTCTCTCCTTCCTTTTCATTGTTTATGCTTGACTCCTTGCTAGCCTGGTCTTAGTGGTGATCCATCTCAGTGTGGTTTTTGCTATCATTGTGTGATCTATATCCCTTTGCACTAACCCTCAAACTTAACTTTTCTTTGGGGCCTCCTGCCTGCTATACAATGTAACCATTCCTTTCTTCCATCCATCTAATCAGTGAAGAAAATATGTATTTAGCCTCTACTGTGTGCCAGAGGTTTCTAGAGGAAGTGAAATAACGTAAGTAAGTTGAGAGTGTGGCTTTTTCATTTAAATTTTATTTATTGTTAAATTTTTTGGATAGGTAATAATATTCTTGTAGTTCAGAATTCAGAAGGTACCGAATGGTAAACAGTGAAAAAAGTCCCTTCCCCCAGTTGCTCTTTTTAACTCTTATGGTCTAGCTTCTACCCCAAATTCCCCATATGAACTTGTTGACAGTGGTCATAAACGAGTAGCTAATAACCAAATCCTATGGTCTGAGCTAACTGTTATTAAAAGTCTTGTCTCTTAAAATCTTCTTCTCACCTGGGTTTTGTGCCATAACTCTGCTTTGCTCACTCTCTGGGCTCTTTATCACCCTCTTTGTCTTCCAAACCTGTGGGCATTTCCCAGTTTTGCACCTTTAGTTCTGTTCTTTACCTTGATGATCTTAGGGCTGTTCTTGGCTCCAGCTGTTGCATATTTATGGCAAATTTCCAAACTTGAATAGTAGGTGTTGTATAGACCACAAACTCATAAGTCATACAGATGTGGGTTCAAATCTCAGTGCTAATATGTACTAATTAATTTTGTCACTTAACATTTTTAGGCCCAGTTATCCTTATTTGTAAAGTGAGGATGGTACTAACTACCTAGTTGGGGTGGTTAAGAAAGTTTTAAAAAGTGTATTTGGGCAGCACCTGTGGCTCAAAGGAGTAGGGCGCCAGCCCCATATACCAGAGCTGGTGGGTTCAAACCCTGCCCTGGCCAAAAGCTGCAAAAAAAAAAAAAAAAAAAGTGGTGTATTTATACCACTTATCTAGAACCTGAGCCATAATCAGGACTCAAGGAATGGCTGCTGTTGCTGTGTTGTTCATTGTTTTTATCTGTGTTTGACTGTAAGCTCCCATTTTCCCTCTGTATGTTTTACATACTTCTCATTTCATTCAGGCATCTGTTCAAATCATTTCATCCATGATTCCTATTTTGGATCACTATCGCTATCAAAATAGCCCCCATGCCCACCTCAAACAAGCATTCTGTATTCACTCTTCTCTCTTTTTCTAACACTCATTACCACCAAGCACATTTGTTTATTGTCACTTCCCCTGAGAAGATAAACTTTGTAAAAGCAGGGACATTATCTCTTGTTCACTGATACATATACACACACGGAGTGGACCCTCATAAGTGAGATTAGTGCCCTTGTAAGGGCTATGTGTATGTGTATGTGTATATATATAGCTTCTAGTATGGTACTTGGCACGTTATAAATGATCAGTGCATGAATGTTGACTAAAGAATGCAAACTTGGAGATAAAACCAAGCTCAATGTTCTTTTTTCCTTCTTCTCTATCTCACCTCTTCCCCCTCCCTACACTCCCACTCACTATCAGATATTCTTCCTGTATTCCCATTCCTTAATTGACATCTAGGCTAGAAACCTGAGTTACTTTTATTTCTGTCACACCCCGTATCAGTCAGGTGCCAATTTTTATTTCTCCTTCTTTCCCACTGCTCTCCACTGCTTGCTTAAGTTGTTCAATAATGTCATAACAGCCCTCGGATTTCTAGTCCCTACTTGGCTGCCATCACCAGAGTGTTTATCCTCAGTAACAACATCTCTGATACTGTCAAAGTGGTGTTGATAAATCTTCAGTTACATCAGAATAAAATATTAATGCCTTAATTTGTCTTTGAAGCCTTCATAGTGCCACAATTGGGTCACAGCACCCTTTCTATCTTTATCTCCCACTAGCCACTCTGTTTCCAGTCAGGGTTTCAGCACTGGGTGTGATCACCATTCTTCATACCAACTCCTTGGTTTCCTGCTTTCATGCCTTGGTATTTTAGCTCCCTCTATCTGGCATGCCTTCCCCAGCCTGCCCATCAAATTCTTGTCTTGCCTTCAAGACTAAGCTTGTGGCTCAGAGCCTGTGGCTCAAGTGGCTAAGGCGCCAGCCATGTACACCCAAGGTGGCGGGTTCAAATCCAGCTGGGGCCTGCCAAACAATAATGACGGCTACAACCAAAAAATAGCCGGGCATTGTGGCAGGTACCTGTGGTCCCAGCTACTTGGGAGGCT